ACCAAATCAGTATATTTTTTTTTATTTAGATGCATGTCTTTATCTATCATTTGGTTTTTTTTATAAATCTAACCCTTTACCTGCCCACAAGAGGGATTCAAAATATTAACTTTTTTTTTTTTAGTTAAAGTAAATCATTAAAATTAATTCAGTTCTGGATATTTCAATAGTAGAATCTTTTTAAATATCAAAAATTACTTAGAAATGATTACTATGATTTCTATTTAAGTGTTCTATTACGATAAAAATGCAAAAAATAATGAGTTTTTCTGATAAATTTACAATAAATAATAATTATAAAACTTTCTGACTGCATATTAATCTTAAAAATAACATTGTTTTAATTCTCATAAAATTTTCTATTTAATGATTCATTCTAGTCAACGAAGGAGTAATTTTGCAGAATAGCAGAAAAAATTCCCAACAAACTTTTTTTTTTTTTGTTTTAATTAGGCAATTGGTGGATTATTCCAAAAGCAACATCAACTCTTATTTCTTTAATTATATCATGATTAGTAGTTCTTTGATTTTAAAATATAATATTTGAATATATACTAATTATAATTATTAAATTTAGTATGAAATTGATATTTAATATTGTAATTTAAACGGAGAAATTATAAAAATAATAAAGAAGTTATATTTTGCTTTACTTTTACGTGTATAAAAATTTAAAGGGCTTGATACAATAATTTTCAATAAAAACTGTTTGTTACTATAAAAAAATGCACTGGACTACAAGGAACTTTCATCAGAAGCAAAAATATACTTTTCTAAATCAACTTTTCGCGTTGTTTTCAAATCTGCAAGTAGACTATTTCTATCACTTCTAATTTTTTATATTATTACTAATTATATATATAAAATAATAATTAAAAGAAAAAAAAATTTGTTTTCAAATTATTACTGATTTGATTTTTAATATGTTAAAAATAATCAGTCCAAATTTTCAATTTTAACCTATTTTTTTGGTTCTTTAAAGTTGATGAAAAATTTTTGATAAAGATTTATGAAAGTTTATAGTAAAATAAATTGAATATATTACCATAACTTTTAGCTCAATTACAAGTTTAAAATTGACATCTAGGCCAGTCAACAAAGGAAAAATTGCGGAAAAAATTTTGTTTTTTTAAAAGTTGAATTAAAATATGTATAATGACATACTAATAGTCCTCAAGATTGGAATTGAGCTTTTTTTTTAAATCCTCGCAAAAGTTCAAAAATATGAGCTTTCTTAATTTTCTCAAAAAAAAATATTTAACTTACAAAAAAAAGTTTCGCACAAAAGTTGTTTAAAAGACAATTATAAATAAAAATATAATCTTATATTTTTTCATTTAAACAAATATTTTTCGAGTTACATTACATTTAATATGAGTAATAAAATTTATATTCCATTTTTTTCATTTTACGGTTACTTTTTATCATGTTATACTTACATTAGACACAATGTTATAAATGCATATGTGTGTATGTGTGAGTTTATTTATTTATTGTATCATTAAAGTGTAGTGTATATTGAGATACAACCGATAGAGTAGGTAATTGATTTGACGCTATATTATTTAAACCCAACTAAACGCTAAATTGTACATTCCGAAATAACAATCATATTATGTCAATTGCCACCGGAATATCTGGTAATATTTTTCTTTTTCTTTGCCTTAATCCCAACTACTTGGGGTCGGGCACCCTTATCCTAAGATTCCACTTGACACGATCTCCCACATCTTCTACGCTCACATCAGCTGTCCTCAAATCGCATTCAATAGCATCCCTCCATCTCTTTTTTGGTCTTCCTCTATCTCTTCTTCCTTCAACATTCATTTCTATAACTGTTCTTACAGCTTTCGATTCTTCTTTCCTCATACCATGACTAAACAATCTAAGTCTATTTTCTGTCATCTTATCCACGATTGACGCAACACCTATACTTCCTCTTATATGCTCGTTCCTTATCCTATCTTCTCTAGTCACTCCACTCATCCAACTAAGCATTCTCATCTCTGCTACACTTATTCTCTGCTCTACTTTCTTATCAACCGCCCAACACTATTAACCATACATCATAGCTGGCCTCACAATTTCATACTAAATTTAAAAACTATAATTAGTATTTATTCATATATTATATTTTAAAATCAAAGAACTACTAATCAGGATATAATTAAAGAAATAAGAGTTCATGTTGCTTTTAAAATATTTCACCAATTTCTCTAAAGGAAACACTATCTACAGATTTGCATCGAAGCGTTTCTTATGATAGTGATTTTAATCACTGTCAGATATCATCTATACTTGTCCCATCTATGCCTCGTCCACACTGTGCCTCGACCCCACTGTGCTACCGTTTTTTATTATAAACTTTTACAAAAATCAACTTTAAAAGATTAAAAATATAGGTTAAATGTGTCATTTTCCTTATGTTTAACATATTAATAATCAAAATCAGTTTTAGTTCTAAACAATTTTTTTTTGTTCTTAATTATATTTTATATGTATATACTTATTTTAATAATAAGTAATAATATTAAAACTTAGAAGTGATAGAAAAAGTCTAATTGCATATTTGAAAACATCGCAAAAAATTTACTTAGAAAAGTATATTTTTGCATCTGATGAAAGTTCCTTGTAGTCCAGTGTATAAAACTTATAACTTTGTTATAAGTAACAAACATTTTTTATTAAAAAGTATTGCATCAAGCTCTATAAATTTTTATACGCGTTAAAAGTAAAGAAATATACCACTACTTTATTATTTTGATAATATCTCCGTAAAAATTAAGGGAATAAGAGTTATTGTTGCTTTTGAAATAATCTACCAATTTATTAAAATTAAACACTATCTACAGATTTGCATCGAAGCGTTTCTTATGATAGTGATTTTAATCACTATCAGATATCAATACTTGTCCCAACTATACCACGTCCATACTGTGCCGCGACCCCATTGTGCTACCGTTTTTTAAACTATATTTATTTAATTTTTGGCGCTCAATGTTTCCTTACTATATTAAAATGAGACGTATATGTAGTAAATAGCCGTATTAAAGAAAGTCTCACATAGTATAATATAAGGTTTTTAACACTGTGGTAAGCAATTTTAAATTTAAAAATAGTAATGTCACACAAAGGAAACAATCTTGCTTCGAGCAGAACGATGAATCGCGTGAAATTCTATATTTCAAACGGGATTGATTTTATATTGTCAGATTTTTGTACTATTTATAATTTTTGTTGTTTTTACATTTTGTAAAATAAAATATATCTATTCGAAACTTACTTTTTTTTTTTTATCACTTTATCAGCCCATTAAGGACCATAGCGTTTTCCCCCAAAGGAGAAGGTTTTTAACCATTTATACTCCGGAACGGGTGGTTAGTCCGTCGCCGGAAAGAGGGATGATAACTCCAATTACCGAATTATCTCTCGTTCGGCAAATAATGCCGCCTGTGACCGAGTTCGAACCCGAGGCAGTGCGCGTCAAACACTGCCGCATTACTGACTCGGTCAAACCGTCCCTTCCGTTCGAAACTTACATTTGGGTTAAATACTTTATATCCGCCGCGTTTCCAAAATTGTGTATGTGTGCGGCTCAAGTTAAGGTTATATTGCTAGTCCTTTAGTTGGTCTTAACAGTTTCTGTGCATGCTGGTCAGTTTTTGGGCTTAACTGTCTTTTAGTACAAAGGCAGTTATGTTAGTGGCTGACGAGGAGTCACACTTTAGTCTCCTACTTTCGCGCTAAGTCGTGCTGCCTCTTTAGTGGTTCACTAAATGGATTGATTGGAGCTGATCAGTTTACCCAACAGGAGAACTTGAAAAGAGCCAAAACAAGAAGTTTGACGTTAAGAGTAATGATGGGAAATATCGAATAGTAAAAATATTCGATAGTTACACAATATACTCGAATAATTTTTAAAACTATTCGATAGTTTATGCTAAAAATAAACTATTTGGTTTTATAAAAACACTTTGAATAGTTATTCGATAGTTTTAAATAACTATCGAATACTTATCGATAGTTTAAAATATTCGAAAATGCCCATCACTAACTAAGGGTATTAACTAAATTTGTGTACACATTTTGTGTCTACATCGCAGTTCTATCGACATACGACATATAGTATATTTATGAATAGACACAAACAAAAAACATATGTTAAAATTAATGTTAGTTTCGTATCGAATAATAAATACATAATTATTGATTATTATAAATGTAAAATATCAAAAATAGCCGAATGTGTAGATTCAGTTTAAATTTTGGGGCTACAAGTTAATTTCTAATTTATGAAAAAGCGTATTGTCTTCTCTTGAAAAACGTCCGCAGACGCTATTAAGTTTTAAAATTTTCAGATCGAAATAATGAGTTAATAAGATTTGAAATAATTCTATTCTCTCTATCCTTATAATCTAGAGATCTTTAAAGTATAGCATAAAATATAAATCTTAAATGAGGCTTAAGACACCCGATTTAAATGAATTATTCCCATACTTCGAGAAGTTTCAATAAAATGTATATTAAAATATTAATAGTTTTTTAAATAGAAATTGCATTGACTTCCTCTTCTTTTTGCGTTTTTATGATATAAGAAATTCTATTTGTGTTCTCGAGATAACGTAAAATAATTAATTTCAATTCAAATTATCAAGATTAAAGTGTTATTACTATCATTACTAATAGTAATTTTTAAGAAATTTCAACCAAATTTGAAATAAAAAAGCATTCAAGATAGCAATGATGCAGAAAAAAAATGTCCAAATATTAATAAACAAGCCAGAAGTATATTTTACTTTAAATTAGATTTATCTATTTTTGACATGAATCTTATTACTCTAATGAGTCAACAATACATTTAGAAATATTACAAACTCATAATTTACACAGTAGAGTAAAAAGTAAAGGAAGTTTTAGGATTTACTTTTTTATTTTTTACTTAGAGTAGTACAATTATAGTGTATTACTCTTAAAATATAAAAATAACTATTAAATGCATCTCAGAGTCAATTAAATACAGTATAATTTGTTAATTAAGTTAAAAACAATTATTAAATACTATCTTTATAAGAAAATACCTATTCTGCTAATTAGGAAATTATATATGTATATTTTTTTAATTTAACCAAAAACTTATAGTATTATAACTGTAAAATAGGTACATCATATTAAGTAATAGAACATTTATACTTTAAACCTTAAATCAAATTGATTAAAAAAAAAAATTCTATAATCACAGAAACAAAAAATACATAATACATGTCATGTAAACAGAACATGTTATACATTTAGATACAATAAAACATTTACATAGCATCAAAATGAAATTTATGGGCTTCCATGCGTTTTTCTATCCTATCTTCTTGACGTTCTTTAAGATATAAAACTCCAATAATGACTAATATTAAAAGACATGTACCTGCAAGAGCGAGAGCACTTTGTAAAATCAAACGACTAGGTGTAACAAAAAGTTTTGCATTCCAGCGAATGGGGTCATTTATTGGTGTTGGTATTACTACCATTTGGGAATTTGGAATGATTTGTGTCCATGAACGTGTTTCATTGAGAACAGAAACAGTCAATTCGTCAACAAAATTAGGTGTACGACCAAGGCCAAATATTGTATATGGTAGATATAGTGAATAATGAGCTGACTGAGGAAGTTGAGTAGCAGTACCTTGGCGAGGATCACCATCTTGAGTAGTTGTCAGGTAACTAACTTTAGGTCCTGGTAAATTTGTACCAAAAGTACGGGATTTTTTTCCAAGCCGACTGGGTAACATTTCATATTTGCTATTTGTTAAGCCAGTGACAACCATTACCTAGCAAAAAACAAATAAAAAAATAATATTATATTAAATGACTAAAAACAAAAAAAATTTTATAGTGGAAAAAATGATAAATAACAATATAGAATAATAAAAAATTTTTTTGTTAAAAATATTAATGTATCATTAACTTTCTACCCTATGTTTACTTTATATTTAGCTTGGAATGTCTCTCCAGCGATTATTGCATTTATAATTTTAGAAATTATAAAGCAATAATAAAAATAAATATATTTTATGTTATATAGTATTTTATTATTTATTACGAGCCTCACATGCCTTCAGCATGTTAGCTTCTTTGGGTTGTCCTTATAAATAGGCCACTGATTCCAGTAGGAGCACACGGTTATACCAAGTACAATTAATTTTTCAGCTATACATTTTTTTTTTTTGTTTTATTAAGAAAATATTATAGCACAGCTATAAATTACTTTTTAGAATTTTCCTTTACAACTTATAGGGGTGCCAACTTTATTTTTTCATATGGCAACATACAACTAGACTAGCTTATAAAATATTAAATAATCTAATTAAGAAAATGACTGTTTGATAACAGATTGTGGGCCAGTATTTCAGAAGTTATTAACAATTTAAAGTAATTACTGTAGGTAAAAGCTGAGTACGGTTATTTTTATCACAAGCCGTTTCCTGCCCATCCTCTTCGTTCTACCTATGTATAAAAATGAGAATAACATCCAAAGTACTGGTCGAAAAGTTGTTATTAACTAATAATTTTCTTAATTAGATTATTTCATAACCTAGTAAATGATGTATGTTGCTATTTGAAAAAATAAAGTTGACACTCCTATAAGTTATAAGGGATGATTCTAAAAAATAATTATTAGCTGATAAAGCAAGAAATTACATAACTAAAATAAATAAAAAATTATTTGTGGTTTATAATAAACCTTGGTAGATCTTTGACATGTTAATAGGCTGATTTCTAACTTTGTACTATACCTATAAATAAAAATTCTATGAAAATATAAGGTAAAAATAATTGGTTGCTAAACGCATTTTGATAAAATTGACCAAAAATACTCCAAAAAGATAAAAAGACTTAAGCCATAAAATGTCTCATCAAATATCATATACAGAGTGACCTATTTGGTTTTTGACGTTTTTAATAGTTTTTGATTTAGGAAATCTCAATGTTACTTTTTTTCTAAACAATTTGGACTGCTTTAAAAACATATTTTTTATTTTTTACCTTTTGTAAAAATAAATATATAAATTTTTTTTTAAATAGCCACTTACACATGAAAAATGTTGATGAGTTAAAAACTATTTTAGGATCAGTACTTAATAATTTAAAAGTTTTAAATATATAAAATGTGTATGTAGATCAGGTGGAGTATACAATTTAAATATACAACAGTATAAACTGTACCCAGCAACACTATATAAGTAGTAAAATGCTTGTAACTAAATAAGTATACATTTTCTGTAAAAAAAAAGGCTACTTTGAAATTTTTAAAAAAAATTTTTTCTTTAATATATTATAAAAATATGGCTTTAACATAGTCTAAAACTGTAAAAGATATTATTAAAAAAGTATCACAAAATATTTGTGTTGATTAAAAATGATTAAAGATTTCAAAATCTAGCGCAATACTCTATTTAGTATATCTATATTGTTTTATTCTTAGTATAAAATACTTTTTAAGATTCAATATTTCAAATGAAAAATTGATTATGTAATAATCAAAAAAAATTAATTATTGGTACATTTTCAGTTAAATGAAGAGTTTATAAAAAATTGTTATTTTTTTTGGTAAATTAAGAAGTTTATGATCTTGAAAATGGATCTTTTTTTTAATTTCTGTTGTTTACACATAAGAGGCAAGTCTTATACAGGGTGATTTTTTTATCATAACCCATTCAATTACATGCAGAATAAATATAATTTTAACATTTTTTTTTTGTTTTATTAGTTGCACATTATTCTTGAATTATTAGCTATTTAAAACTTTTTATGTTCATCCCTTATGCCTTATAAGGGTGTCAACTTTGTTTTTTTTAAATGGGAACAAATATTTTCAATTTAATAAATGTTTGGATTTTTAATTCAATAGTAAATGGCATTTGAATTTTTACTATAACTTTATTTGTTTATTAGATATAAACATTTAAAGTTTCAAATTTTTGAGTTAATATACATGTATAATAAACAAGGTATTACATATACAGGTAGCTTATTGGATTTTTATGACATTGCTGTCACAGTCACGGATTGTTTATCATCAATTATGACTATCAATAGATATACTTTCTATATTGTCAGTAGTGTATTTATAAACTCATAACAATGTTCCTTACTACCATTGATAATAACAATGCTGTGTACCTGCTAATATCAATGTCATAAAAATTCAATTAGCTATCTGTATTTATAATCCCTTGTATATTAACTCAAAAATTTGAAACTTTAAGTGTTTATATCTAATAAACAAATAAAGTTATACTAAAAATTTAAATTCCATTTACTATTGAATTAGAAATCCAAACATTTTATTAAATTGAAAATATGTGTTCCCATTTAAAAAAACAAAGTTGACACCCTTACAAGGCATAAGGGATGAACTTAAAAAGTATAATTTAAGAATAATGTGTAACTAAAGAAAACCAAAAAAAAAAAATGTTTAAATTATTATTACTCTGTAAGTAATTGAGTGGGTTATGATAAAAAAATCACTCTGTATACATTGTTTTTAAATGCATAAAAAATTATATTAAATCTTTTATTTATTACAAATTTAACGAATTCAGGTTTTTTGAAACATTCATTTACAATGAAATTAGAATAAACTGTGATAATTATGGAATTTCTTAATAAGAATTTAACCAAATTAAAAATTCATAAAATATTATATTTGCCTATTAAGTTTTCTAAAAATATCTTAGTAATTTGTTTTAACTTTTATGATATTTTTATAGAATTACAATAAAATTGAAAATCGTTACGTTAAAATTAAAAGTACATACTTTTAAGAAATTGGCGTCATAATCCAAGCTATTTTTAAATGCAGACATATTGTAATTTGTATCTTTTCTGCTAACTAATAACACATCAAGTATTCCATTTTGAAAGAAATCATAAAATGCTCCCATTATAGTGTATTTATTGATAGGCTGAAGAACATCCCAACGAACTGCAAATGTTCTATCAAAACCATCACAATTTGTTGTACATGCTACATTTTCCATCAAAAATACTCTAGTTTTTTTATAATTACTATCAATACAAAGTGTTCCAAGTAAATCTGGATATCCGTCCATATTAAAGTCACCGGGTCGTAATGTTATAGTTTCAAGATAAGGGATGTTAGGCTGAGGGGGTACAAATCCCCAAACATTATTACCATCATGGAAATTTACTCCTAAATTGTACCAATTTTTTGAATCATATAAATAGATTGTACTATTTTTACAGGAACTATCAAAACACACTGGAACAATATGATCCATTCGCCCAGTAAGTTGTAAATCCATAAAAGCAGTCTGTCCTACATTTTTAACAGTTAATGTATCTGGAAAAGGAATTGTTCTGTTGAAGATAAAATTCCCATTTTCAGAATCAGAAAGCCAAACTTCATATCCATCATTTGTTGTTAAATATAAGTCTGGTGAAATATCTGAAATTATAAGTTATAAATAAAAATATTAAATGTTACTTAAAAGTTTATTTAAAATTTACCTCCTCCAATGTCAACAAATCCGTGTGATTGAGGGATTCTCATATTAGAATTTGTTGAGTTATTCATAGGAATTTCTGAATACCCTCCATCACTATTAAAGATCCAAAATGTGCGTTGAGTTATACTACCTTTTTTTTGAACACCAAATAAATCCACAATCATATTTCTATCATAATCAATAACTAAAGGTTGATCAACAATTGAAAATAAAGGTTTTTCTTCATCTGAACAATTTAAAACATTTAGTCCACCCCATAAAATATGTACATCTAAATCATTGTTTTGAGAATTACTGCTACTAATCCAGGATGACCATGTTCCAGTAGATGTGATATTTTTAACAGTGACAAGTACATCCATAAGAGCATCACCATTAAAATCTCCAGGTACTACAGATGTTATTTTATGATTCTTAAATGAACATTTTGTTTTTGTACCTGGTTTCAAAAATGGTTCTACATTTGAACCAAATAGTATTTCAACTGTTCGTCCATCATCTTTTAAAATAAACATATCAGTAAGTTCATCGGAGTCGAAATCACCAAAAGCAGCAGGTTGACCAAGGGCATTATAGCCAAACACTGGGTAAGTTATATCAATGGAAACACAGAAATGACTAATAGTCAACAGTAACAAATACTAGAAATAATAAAATGATTTTAACACATTGAACACGAAAATATTTTTAATGATTAAAATGATAATCATTATTAATTAAATACCAAACAAATAAGAATTCAATAGGTTAATTTATATTATTACATATTTTAATAAAATACGTAACTAATTGAATAATTTAAAGACTTATTTATAAATTGTATTATTTTTAAAATATTACTTACGTATAAACAGTTTAACATGTTTGTGTATTAGCATAATACATAAACTCAAATTTTCTAAATATTTTTCACGTATGCTTCAGCTCAAATCAATAAATAATCTATGTCTTTACTCGAACATAAAGGTTTCAACTTTACATTGAACAATTAATAATTTTTTAAAGCACTGTTATCATAATGTACAATCAGCCGTGTCTTATCGTATTTTTCAGTGTCACCCATGTTCTAGACTCGATATTATTCTTAATGTACAATCTTTTTCATTTATATTAGTGATTTATATTATAAATTTTATTTTTGAATTGTTATAATTACTTCGATTAAATTTCCTAATATTTATATTCAATATGATATTAGGTTTAATAAATTGATTTAAGTATCCATAGTATTTTCTTCAAATTAAGCTAATTAAAATTATCTAACATTAATGTATATTGTTTAACATTTAGTGTGATAACCAAACATAAAATTGATAAAACAAAAATAGATAATCTCCATAATTTACTCTAAGTAACTTATTTTATAAACTTACAATGTATCTCAAAGAATTTTTCTAAATATATGAAGATAAATATCTTTATTTTCATTTTTTTGGAAATGTAATTTTAAATCTCAGCACTGGAAATTTTTTTCACACAATATACTCATACCAAAATTTCTTTAAAAATATTACAGAATATCTGCGAAATTCAGAGCTATAATAAATTAGAGCTCATGAAGTTCATTATTGATAAAAATCAAAGACTTTTCTAAAGTAAAAAAAGCTGATATTTGTATCAAAATTTACAAATATCAAGTAAATAATGCTAAATAATTTTTTTTTACATATGATATCTATAACTTAGAAATATCAAGTAAATGTGATAAAGAAACATTTTATGTTATATAATATTGAGGCTGATTTTTTATTAATTATTTAACAAAATAAAAAGTAAATTTTAATTTTGAAAGATTTTACAATAAATACATAACATAATAAATTAATGTTAAATTCAAGATTCTATATTTATATTATATTCTTAAGTTATTGATTTTAATACATGTAATATAACTAAACATCAAACAAGTTAAACATTTAAAAAAAATTTTTATAAAAAATTAAATAAATATAAAATTATATTTTAGTAGCATTAATATAATAAAAAGTAAATAAAGTACAACAAATTATAAAGTAAATAGAAATCATTTTGAGAGAAAGTATATCTAAGACAGTGTAACAACTAACTGTAATTAATAATTTCAATGTGTGAATGTTTTAGCACCAGATATTAATAATTCATGAGTTTTGCGGATTTACCTTTTTTCTATAATTAATATTATTAATTAATATTAAGTCTTAATTCTATATATGTACAAACATTATCTTTTATTCTTAAATTCAATAAATATATAACTTACAAACAAGTAATAATAACTAATTTTGGTTTTAAAAATGAGTAAAGATTGAAATTGTAATACAGGGATTAAAAACTTTATTTTACAAAAAAAAAACATTTTTTTCAATATTTCTAATTATTTTGACTACTATACAATTTGTTTTAATAAACAGATTGTTCGAGTAGTTTTTGAACATCAATGTAACAAAAAGTTGATTAAATTAGTTTTTAATTTAATTATAGTGTCTAAAACAAAATGTTTGAATTATTCTGAAATAAAACGAAAATATTATTCCAAAACCCATAAATCAATAAAAAGTTTATAATTTTTTTAAAAATGTTTCAAAAAAGTCTAATCTATTGTTTGTATTAATCTGTTAAAATATAAATTATATTAACTAAAGTTTGTTTAACTGAAATTGTAAAAACCACATATATAATGGTTTTTAAAAAATAATAATTCTAAAAAAGTTGTAATTTCAAAAATATTTATTTAACTTAGAGAAAAAAATATTAAATTATAGAAAAAACGTAAAATTTAAAAATAAAAGTCACATTAAACTGGAGTAGTTTTTTCATAAGCAGCTAATAATAAACGAGATGAACCTACTGATGTATAGCTCTCTCCACTTGATCGTTGACTTACTGTACTCATTGGAGTTCCTGGTAATGATACTTTTTCCTAAAATTAAAGAATAATATTGCATATTTATATATTTGTTCAATAAGTAAAACATATACTAATTAAATAACTTGTATATAATTGGATTATAACTAGATATTTATTAAAAAAAAGAAAAAATTAATTTCTTAAAAATAATATTTTTTAGGGAATATAACTATAGCACACTTTTAGCTTCGATGCAAAGCTGAGAAGGTATTAACTTTACTATGTGTTTTTATTATTATTTTTTTTTTTTGTGTCTATTACCACTTTTTTTCAGCACTCGTCAAACCATTTTGTTTCAACAATATGTCTAAAGATCACAAATCGTATCTAGTCGAAGACATTACCCTCAAAAATTGAAAAAATTTCCCTCGTTCCCCGTAAATAGAGGAAACCTCAAAAAAAATTACAATTTTAAAAATAGCTAACTTTTTCAATTTTTTTTACTTAAAACTGCCATAAATTTTTCAAAAATGAACAAATAAATATAATTTTTTATAGATGCTTGATGTCTCTACCTAACATTTGGTATATTTTTTTTATAAATCTGACCCTTTACCTGCCCACAGGGGGGGATTTAATATGACAACTTTTTTTACATAAAAAACGCTTTGATGCAAATCTTTAGATAGTGTTTAATTTTAAAAAATTGGTGGATTATTCCAAAAGCTACAGGATCTGCTAGTTCCTTATTAATATCCTGATTAATATAAAGTATGTCGAATGAAAGAGGGATTATTAAAAAATATTATTTCTCATAAAAAAATTGTGTTTATTCATACACTTTTCAATAAGTTATAGCATTATAAAGTTGAAAATGTAAAAAATAAAATCGAGAATTTTCACACAAAAATAGCATTTGATATCCATTTTCACCGTGAAGACTAAATAAAGTCGGAAATTTTTTTTTCCATAATAGAGTACATTAGCTTTAATTTAAGATATATATAAAAGTGTCAGACTTTCAAATTTTTGAACACTTTCAAAAGTTAATTTTTTGTGAAAAAGCTATCATTTTAAACCCCCCCTGTGGGTAGGTAAAGGGTTATATTTATAAAAAAAATATACCAAATGAATAGTAAAGACATCATGCATCTATAAACAAAAGTTATGGCAGTTTTAAGATAAAAAAGTGAAAAAAATGACAAAATTTACCGATTTTTAAATTTGTAATTTTTTTGGAGATTTCCCCCATTTATGGGGAACGAGGGAAAATTTTTCAATTTTTAAGGGTAATGTCTTCAACTAGATAGGATTTGTGTTTTTTTGACGTAACATTGAAAGAAATCGGTTTGACGAGTGCTAATAAGAAGTGGATACAGACACAAAAAAAAAAACACATTATAGTAATACCAATACCTTCTCAGCTTCGTATCGAAGCTAAAATACGATTTTTCTAAAGAAATTCTTTTTTATATTTTTAACTTCATAATGCTAAAACTTTTTAAAAAATGTATGGACCAACACAGTTTTTTTATGAGAAATAATATTTATTTCCCTTTTTTATTCGACATACTTTATCTTAATCAAGATATAAATAAGGAACTAGCAGATCATGTAGCTTTTCGAATAATACACCAATTTTTTAAAATTAAACACTATCTAAAGATTTGCATCAAAGCGATTTTAATGATAGTGATTTTAATCACTGTCAGATATCATTATACCTGATCCAACTATGCCACGTAACCACTGTGCCGCGACCCCCCGTGCTGGGTTTTTTTTTTATGAAGTATTCTGAAAAATTTACTTAGTAAATTAAGAAAATAATTTATTGTTAATAAAATACAATCTATGTATAATGTTTTAAATTTTAGTTTTTACGCAACTCAAAATAATAAATAATGCATCAAATTAAAAATAATAAAAACATATTTTTAAAAAATCATACAAAGAAAAAAATAAGTTAGTATTCTTTTATACTATACAATATTACTTTTAATAGATATCAAAGATGTCAACTAAAAGATGTTGATAAAATAAATTTGGGTGTGGAAGAATTTTAGTTGTGTTAAAATGTGTGTCATTTGAACAGACACACATTTACTCCTCTAAAAAATGTGTTAAAAACTAAGTTAACTGTTTGTAGGCAAAAAAATTATATAAAAAAATTTAAAAAATTTTTAACAACATTAATAATAAGTTAGTAACAATTTTTATATTTTATAGTATGAATATTCATTATATAAGTGTTAATGAACAATAATTGAAATAAAATATTATAAAAATAATCATATAAACATTGTTTTGTAAACTTATAAAGCAAAAAAAAAAAAAAACGTTATATTAAAGTCATTTATTGTAGAAAGTGAATGTCTACATATATTTAGAGTGAATTATTCAAAAATATTCTTTAAATTATAAATTATACCTGAGAAACTGATAATTGTGGTTTTTCTTTTTGATGAGTGGATAGTATATGAGACACACATTCTCCGTAGCAATCAGCATCTTCAGCGCCATGATTTAATATTACATTAATTCCTTTTTCTATAGATTATAATATAAGATATAACTAATAAAAAATAATAATCTTATAACTAAGTAATAATCCAAACTTCATACTTTCAACCACAGGAACATATGGTTGTTCTAATGTTTTGTTAACAGTATTGTCAGAATCAAGTAATGGAGACATTTTTTCTGCTTCACTATCTTCATCTGGCGTCTAAAAAAACAACAAAATCTCTTAAATATATTTAGTAAAATTACAATCTAAGTTATATTAATGATTTAGTCTTTGAATACCTCTTCTTCTAAATTTCCTTTTTCATTAATAACTTTGACATTGTCTTTACATTTAATCGAAAGTTTAAGTTGACTATCATCTTTGATAGATCCTTTTAGGGATTTTTCATTGTTGGTTACCTAAAACAATAAGTTAGTAAAATTTGAACATTAACTAATATTCATTTATTCGTCATAACTTACATTTGAACTAACTGAATTATCACTCTGGCTAAATGATTCATTATGTGAATCTATACTGCATGATTTTTTTCTTGACAAACGGTCTAAACTCAATCTATAGTTTTAAATATTTAATATTAATATAAATAAAAATAAAATAATTTTGATCCAACTAATTCAACAATTAATATATCCAAATAGTATTTTTTTCATAAATAATAATTTTTTTTTGATATTTAAAATTTAAGAGTAACTTGGAATTGAAAACCTATTTTAACTAACTTATAACATAAAGCCATTTAATAAGTTTAATGTATACAACTGTAAAACTACTACGACATAAATTTTTATAAATATAGATCAAATATAAGCGAGTACACTTGACAAACTAAAATAACTTATTTTACATTAAAACTTACTTGGAAGTACATATGTTTATACCAGTACACTGACTATCAGGTGATGATTCTAACAATGGATCGCCAATAGTTTTAGAAGTGTTACTATATTTTTGATAATTTGGACCGTTAAGAGCTTCAATTAATGGAACTGTTTCATAACCATATGGAGTACGCAAATCAATCTATAAATATTATTATTTTTAGCATAACTTTACAAATCAACCATATAATACAATAAAAATATATATTCAACCATTAATAAATAATATTTTTATTAAAAAAAATAAAAATATATATATAGAGTGATTTTTTTATCATAACCCACTCAATTACTTACAGAATAAATATATTTAAACATTTTTTTTTTTTGGTTATCTTTAGTTACACATTATTTTTGAATTATTAACTATGTAATACTTTTTAAGTTCATCCCTTATACCTGGTAAGGGTGTCAACTTTGTTTTTCTAAATGGGAATACATATTTTGAATTTAATAAAATGTTTTTAATAGTAAATGGCATTTGAATTTTTAATATAACTTTATTTGTTTATTAGATATAAATATTTAAAGTTTCAAATTTTTGAGTTAATATACATGTATAATAAACAAGGTATTACATATACAGGTAGCTTATTGGATTTTTATGACATTGCTGTCACAGTCACGGATTGTTTATCATCAATTATGACTATCAATAGATATACTTTCTATATTGTCAGTAGTGTATTTATAAACTCACAACAATGCTACCGTGCTAAGCGAAAACAGGATAACTCCAGTCAACATGATTTTTCAGGAACACAAAAAAACATTTTTAACAGTAAATCAAGATACCCTTTTTTCCCAATATATGAACATAAGTCAAAAGATGGTAACTCCATTATTTTTTATGTGATATACCAAGTTTTTGGTTAGTATTTGGATTTACCGTGTTTTCGCTTACAAAACATCAAATATATTGAACTTACCGTATATTTTCTTATTTTATATTTCAATTTTAGATGGGTTTTAATAGGAAATATGCTACTTTTACATCAAAAATCGGTGTAAAACCACTAAATTTACCTGTAGAAAAAAAAAAAAAATTTTAATTTTGGAGTTATCCTGTTTTTGCTTAGCACGGCAGAATGTGCCTTACCTACCATTGATAATAACAATTCTGTGTACCTGCGAATATTGATGTCATAAAAAATCAATTAGCTACCTGTATTTGTAATACCTTGTACATTATACATGTATATTAACTCAAAAATTTGAAACTTTAAGTGTTTATATCTAATAAACAAATAAAGTTATACTAAAAATTCAAATGCCATTTACTATTAAATTAAAAACTCAAACATTTTATTAAATTCAAANGAATTAAAAATCCAAACATTTATTAAATTGAAAATATGTGTTACCATTTAAAAAAACAAAGTTGACACCCTTACAAGGCATAAGGGATGAACATAAAAAGTTTTAAATAGTTAATAATTCAAGAATAATGTGTAACTAAAGATAATCAAAAAAAAAAATGTTTAAATATATTTTTTCTGTGAATAATTGAGTGGGTTATGATAAAAAAATCACCCTGTATATTATAACAATTCATATTTTATAATAATAATAATTTTTGATGGATTAATATATAATCGGGAAGAACAGATTGTGAAGAAATAGTTGCAGTTGATGATAAAAATAAAAAGTAAATGTGAAAACATTAGCTACACCCTGACATAGGTAATTTTTATAAAAAAAAAATTTGTTAAGGAAGGTAAGCAATAAAAAAATATAAATCTCAAAAGATTTTATTGAAATTTTCTTTTAAGCAATCACCTAGTATAAGATAAAATTCATAAAAAATTTTAGTTAATATTTATTAATAATTAATACTTGAATTATAAGATTTCTTAATTTATAATAAATATAGAGGAATTAATATCTACTAATATATCAATTAGTTACAAGAGAAAAATTAAAAATATAAACTAGAAATGATAATAATTATCATAAAAATATATAGAAATCACAAATTATTTGTGATTTCTCCCAAATTATAAAGATTAATATTTTTAGGCAGATAGTATTATATTAAGTGTGAAATATTGTTTTTTTATTTTAAATTAAAAATTTTGATATATTACTTACTCGATGATTATTATCTAAAGTTTTTTGTAGTGCTTTAATTTGTAATAATGCTCGAAACGGAACACGGCAAATCGGACAATTGTTTGCTTGATATCGTAAAGAATCTGCACATGATTGACATAAACATAAATGACGACAAGGTAAAATTAATGTATCTCGCATATCACTCATGCAAATGACACACTCTGAACTACCATCTTCTAGTTCTTCATCACCAGTATCCTAAAATTAAATTAAAATAAAATAAATTACAATGTAAAAAAATTTATTAGTTTGCATTTGCTTATTAATACAAAGAATAAGTCACTATTATGTTAGGTATGTTTAAAAAAAAATCCTATAGTTGTGCTTACTTCATAAAAGTTTCATTAAGAGGATTCAATTTTACAATTTTGCAAGTTTCTAATTTTTGAGCTAATATACATGTATAATATATGAGAGGTTACAAATACAGGTAGCTAATTGTATTTTTATGACGTCACTATCACAGATACAGAGCAATTATTGTCAATTATGATTTTATCAATAGATATGATTTATGCATTACCAGTTGGCATATTTATAAACTCACAACAAATGTCTTACTACCATAATTTAAGCATATCCATTGATAAAATCATAATTGATAATAAATGCATTGTATTTAAGAATATTCTGTAAGTAATTGAGTGAATTATGGTAAAAAATTCACTCTGTATGTAGTTCTTACAAAATAAAATAAACATAATTTAATAAGTTTAAGGCATAGTGATGATTAATATGGCTATGTCTCTCTCTACAACCTCAAATGTATGTCAATAAAATATTTTTACAGTTAGACTTTACTCTTTTTAAAATTGGTTTGTTCCATACTAAATAATTTATATATTTATAATTTGATATATAACTAATAGTCTAATAAATAAGGTTTAGGATATATATATATGTAAGATATAAAGTATAGGATAATATTGCAAATATTAGTCCAAGAGATATGAAATTTCTTTAAATATTTAAATAGTTTATTGTTTCACTGTAAAAAAACTCACTTTTAATTCAGTAGATTTGTTTTCAATACCATAAATTTCTTGTAATAAATAACATAATCCATCTACAAATAACTTTTGTTTTAAAGCTTTTAAAATGTATGAACCATCTGAATACTGTTCAACAACTGCAATTGTGGTATGAGATTGACGTGTTTCTAAAATATATGATTAATAATTAATATGGTTGAATCATTCAAAAAAAAGTTATACAGAACGACGATCCATTTATCAAAAACTACTTAATTAATCAAAAAATAAAAAAAAATATGAGAAATTTTTATTTGGTTTCTTTAAGGTACATAGTTTTCTTAATTTATCAATCATTAAGTATTTTTTGTACCCTTCTTGCCCCCTCACCAAATTACACCTATGATATAGGTATAAAAATTTCAATAGTTTCCAAAATACTGGTCCGAAAGTTATTATGGACCAGTCAATAATAACATTACAAAAAATATATAATATATGGCACCTCTTCACAAAAGCATAACTTGTGCCTGGGTTAGATGAATAATAATAAGAGTTCCATATTATATTAAATTATGCATAATTAAATCTATATATATACATATATACAGTGTTCAATTACTAAGGACAGGTTTCTATTGTCTTCAATGTGTAAAATAATTGATATTTTTCTTGACTTACTGAACACTCCGTATATACAAATGCATACATATATTTATAAATAAAATATTGTGTACTAAATTAATATAATTTGTAAAATTTTAAAAATTTTAATATATCAATTTAGTTTTATATTATTGAAGTTGAGCATTTTTAGAAAAGTTTTAAAAGAGAATTTACTTTTGAATGTTTCAAGATTTATATTTAATTTATTACAGATCATTATACCAACTTAAATACAATTAAATTTGACAAACTGTTTATTGAATTTAACAGAATTAAGATTAAAAAATTGTTTTAATCTAGTACTATAAGAAATGAAAAATTATATAAGGTCTATATTAGGCCAAATTAGTTTTATACAAATGCAATAAAATGCTTCGATAATATAATGATTTTAAATTATAAATAATGATTTCACTATATAAAAAGTGTGGTACAATTTTAGCTAATTTAAAGCAATTCTTAATAATATATTAAGGGTTGAATTTGGACTAGATATGTGTGAGTTATATGTGTTACCCCATATACAAATTCCATAGGACAATAAAGATTAGACTAATGACAAATAAACAAATTTTAAAATGAATAAATCAAGTATATCAAGTATGATTGATGAATTGAGAAATACATGCGTTTTAAAGAAATCAAATAAAAAATTCTCAATATTATTTTTTTATTAATTAAGTTGTTCGTGATAAATGATGAATCATCCAGTTTATTTAAAAAATTGTTTTCTCTTTTTAAATATATAGATCACCTTCAGAAGTATCATGAGCAACACAATGTATAGCAATTGGTATTACTTCTTTATTAAACATATAAATAAGATCTTCATTATTGTATAGACTTGGATTAAATAAATGTAATGGTTGATAAAATTGTTGATTTGACCCTCTTTTATAATGGTACACCTCGGAAGTCATTGATGGATCACGACAACTAAATCTTTATTAGAATATTCATAAAAATACAATTAAAATTTTTGGAAAGATATTTTTTTTTTTTATACAACCGTTAGGTTGGTTAATACCATTGGTATTATCCTGGGGAAATTTTAAGTGCAGTGGTTTCCCATTGCCTTCTACACTGAGAACATGATGCTTTTTCGCCACCGTAGAAGCACACACATGGTCACCCATCCGTTCACCTACGGCGGTAGACGCGGCTTAACACTAGAGTTTTGTCAACAACTAGTGTGACCACCACGCCACACCACGCCCAGAAAGATAATTCAAATTATTAATACTTACGATACTCCACTTGGGGTAAATTCTTCAGTACAAAAATAATATATAGTGATTGAACAAGGTGCATCACAATCAAATATGAATTCAATGTTAAATACAGATTTTCCCTCTTCAGTTTTAACAAAGCGTAATGATTCTTTCCTTATATTTACTAAACTTTTTAAAGGTTTGGTAGGTTCACCAGCTTCAGGAGGGGGATAAGGAAACTAAATATTAAAAATATAAATTAGCATATTATTTAGAATTAAAAATATTTACAAAGAGATTTATTAAAATAGTTTCTAAAAAAATAAAATAATTTTTCTAAAAAAGTTTTAGCTTTGATATGAAGCTGAGAAGATATTAATTTTATTATGTATTCAAATTTTTTTTTTTTGTGTTTTTGTAACCACTTTTTCTCAGCTTTTATCACACAAATTTTTTTTAATGATACGTCAAAAGATCACAAATTGTATTTAATCAAAGACATTAACCTTAAAATTGAAAAATTTCCTCTTTCATCCTAAATGGGGACAATCCCCCAAAAAATTACAGTTTTAAAAACTACAATGTATCAATAGAAAATTGATCTAAAAACGCTTAATTTTAATATGCAATAACATAAAAACGATTCAACAAATATTAAAAGCACATCATTTTTTTTTTCTATCATATTATTAAATTATTGTTTAGGTTTTTAATTCTGAAGGAATAAAAAAAAGTTTTTTTATATTATTATATTAATTTAGAGCCTTTTGAATCAAATAATTTTTTTTTTACAAAAATAAAAAATTTTCAATAGTTTCCAAGAGAATGAATATCTTTATTTGATCACTTTGTATACACAATTAAAATTTCATACTAATGGAGTAAGAGGTTACCATAATTAATTTTTTTGATTAAAATGACATTATAGTTTACTTGATAAAAACTATTTTTTAACTTACTGTAGAAGGGCATTTACTAAAAAAGTTTAAATCCATATTTTCGCCAAATAAATATGCTTCGGGTTGAGGTGTGTCAAATTTTTCACCTCCCATTATAAAATGAGTACTAAAATAGTTCCCTGAAAAAATAATACAATTGACAAAAATCTAATTGAGTTTGTTATTTCAAAAATGAATTTATGTTTAAAATATAATGTATTGTTATATAGAAGGGTTAAGTAGAGAAAATGTGTACAAAATGGTATAAAAGTAAAAATTATACTTATTGATATGCAATTTTTAGTTATTTTTTTTTTGTGCGTCCATAGCCACTAATAATCAGTTCATAGAAGGAAATTTACTAAAACTTTAAAGGAGGCTAGAATTACTCATCGGAGCTATTTGTGTGTATATTCTACCTTTCATTGTACTTATCCAATATAGATATTATTAACAAACATAGCTAGTGGGGTTCAGATATGTAGATGTTGATAATAAATATAATTCAAGCATAGACTATTACACAAAGTACAAAAATAATAATAATTTAAAGTTTCTAAATAGATGACAATGTATATCTGATTTACAATTGACTAGTTTGTATGGTGTACAAAAGGTTGACAAACAATTAGATACTTTGGTAGCAATATGAAAAACAAATAAAGCAATAAAGACTATCAGATAGCCAACAACTGCAATTAACTATAAATATTTCAAATTATAAGTTGTCCTATCATAGTAACTGAGCTAAATTTATATTCTATACATAAAAATTCTTATGGGGACTAGGACTACTTATTTTAGTTTTAGCGGAGCTAAGTTCTGTAGGCCCCTAACCTCGATTTCCGTCCATGACTCAGCTTCTACAAAACCAATATTGTCTATCAATACATTTTTTTAAAGTTAAAGCTGATATAATTTAAGAATAAAAAATGTTAATCTCTGATCATAACTTTATTATAAATTCCTTAATAAAAAAAAACTTACAATTGTTATTTGTGATAATATTATTGCTAAAAATGGTAAATTTTCTTACCAGACTTGGGAGGATATTTGTATACGTTATTAGAAATACTGTCAACTTCTTCTTCTCTAGCGTTTTGGCGGCTAGAGAATACCCCCATGATTTTACAATTAAATCGTTATTAATCAAATAAAATGCATTAAAGTAAAAAATTAAATAATGAAACAATTTAGAAGTGAATATGCAAATTCTAATATACTGAGTAAATACTAAATTATAATCTCTTATCTGTAGAAAAATAAAAAATAATCGTTATCAATTTGGGTCGAAATCAATATTTTGTTAACATTAATATAAATTTAATCTAAGGTAATTATTTATGTATTTGTCTCTAACTTCCTAATAATAATAACAACTGTTTGTGGCTAAATGGTGTAAGAGACATTTTTATCAAGAAATTTTTTTTTTTTTAAACCTGAAAATAATTTATAGATAATTGGAATCATAATTATATAAAAAACCCAGCACAGGAGGGTCGCGGCACAGTGGTGACGTGGCATAGTTGGATCAAGTAAATGATATCTGACAGTGATTAAAATCACTATCAAAAATAAACGCTTCGATGCAAATCTTTAGATAGTGTTTAATTTAAAAAAAAATTGGTGTTTTATTCCAAAAGCTACTTGATCTGCTGGTTCCTTATTAATATCCTGATTAAGATAAAGTATGTCGAATGAAAAAGGGTTTATTAAAAAATATTATTTGTCATAAAAAAATTGTGTGGATCCATAAACTTTTCAATAAGTTATAGCATTATAAAGTTAAATATAATATAAATAATAAAATCGAGAATTTTCACACGAAAAAAGCATTCGGTAGCCATTTTCGCCATGAAGACAAGTCCAGAGGTCAAATTTTTTTTTTTCAAATTAAAGTATATTACATTAGCTTTAATTTAAGATATATATAAAAGTGTCAGACCTTCCGGAACATTTTCAAAAGTTATGTTGAAAAAGTAAATTTTTTGTGAAAAAGTTGTCATTTTAAATCCCCCCCTGTGGGCAGGTTAAGTGTCAGATTTACAAAAAAAATATACCAAATGATAAGTAAAGACATCAAGCATCTATATAAAAAAAAATTATATTGATATGTTCATTTTTGAAAAAGTTAGAGCATTATTAAGTTAAAAATATAAAAAAAAATTATTTTACAAAAATCGTAATTTTTTATTAACTTTGATGTCAACTTTCACCACGAAGACAAGTCCAGAGGTCAAATTTTTTTTTTTCAAATTAAAGTATATTACATAAGCTTTAATTTAAGATATATATAAAAGTGTCAGACCTTCCGGAACATTTTCAAAAGTTAAGTTGAAAAAGTTAATTTTTTGTGAAAAAGTTGTCATTTTAAATCCCCCCCTGTGGGCAGGTTAAGTGTCAGATTTACAAAAAAAATATACCAAATGATAAGTAAAGACATCAAGCATCTATATAAAAAAAAATTATATTGATATGTTCATTTTTGAAAAAGTTACGGCAGTTTTTAGTAAAAAAAATTGAAAAAATTTCGAAAATTAGCGATTTTTAAATTTGTAATTTTTTTGGAGGTTTCCCCCATTTACGGGGAACGAGGGAAATTTTTTCAATTTTGAAGGGTAATGTCTTCGACTAGATACGATTTGTGATCTTTTGACGTATCGTTGAAAGAAATCTGTTCGGTGAGAGCTGAGAAAAAGTGGTAACAGACACAAAAAAAAACACATCATAGTAAAACCAATACCTTCTCAGCTTCGCATCGAAGCTAAAATTTATATAAATTTATTTAATATCTAAATGTATTTAATATATTTAGATATTTATTATATACATATTTAAAATATAAATATTTATATGTCTATACTTCAAATCAATCGAATCTGAACATTTTAGATAAAATGTCGATTACGACAAGTAGCCTGCTAACAGTCAATATCACAAACCTTATATTTTCATAGTCTGTGATAATTTATTAGAGTTATCACCTTGTTTTTGTATTTCATGTTTTCAAATAATCTAAGTGAATTGTAAATAAATTATCCAACAAAATTAAAAAATACTCTGTAATCAATTTACATTTATTTAGAAAATAATTTAATTGTGAGAACAGATATTTAAGTTTAAAATGTTTAAAAAACGTAAGATTATACAAAATCAGAGAAAAAAAGCGGTTTTTGAGTGTGAAAGCAGTGATGAAGAATCTGCAGTTGTTATTAATGAAAAGCGACAAAAAAGATCAAACCCATTAATTCAAAGTACTCTAACTAAAAAATTGAAAACTATTGATACTACTAATGAATCTTCTGAAAGTGACCTGGAATCAGTTACTGTTTCATACCGTTCTAAAATGGATTCTGAAATGAGTGGACCCAAAGATATGGGTGCTACAGCAACAGTTGAAATTGATACAGAACTTGATAGAGATGCTCAAGCAATTTATGAACGATCATTACAAGTAAATAAAGAACTTAAAGGAAAAGAAGATGATAAAGTTTACAGAGGTATCGCTAATTATACACAATATTATGAAAAAAAAGATACAGCTCTTGGCAATGCATCTAGTGGAATGGTACGTAAAGGACCTATTCGAGCTCCAACAAATTTACGTTCAACAGTACGCTGGGATTATCAACCTGATATATGTAAGGATTACAAAGAGACGGGTTTTTGTGGTTTTGGAGATAGTTGTAAATTTTTACATGATAGATCAGACTATAAATTTGGCTGGCAATTAGAAATGGAAACTAACCAGACATGTAATTCTGATGGAGATGATGACCCATCAAAATATGAAATTAAAGATGATGACAATGATGATTGTATACCATTTAAATGTTTGATTTGTCGAATGTCATATGTAAATCCTGTTATGACCAAGTGTAAACATTACTTTTGTGAGAAATGTGCTTTATCCCATTTTAAGAAAAGTACCAAATGTTTTGTTTGTGAAAAACAAACTGGAGGATTTTTTGACCCAGCCACTGTAATTATAGAAAAGCTTAATGCTTCTAATTCTGATGCCATTCATCAATGTCATTCGGATGAAGAATCTGAATAATAAATGTTATCTGCATTGTAATATTAATTTTACCATTACAGTAAATAGATTATGTAAATATATTATGAACTACTTTATAAATTTTATTCTATTTTAAATATTTATTATTATAAAAATAAAAAAAATGAATAAATTTACAAAAATTTATAAATTTTTAATAATTTAAAAAATAATTTTATTTTGATTTCAATTAATTATTTAAGGGAATTTTAAAAAATTACCCATTATTTTGTTATAAACGAGTTATTTATTTAAGATAATAGATTAACTATGGTTCATGCGTGATCTTTAAAATTAAAAAAAATGTACAATTTTCACTATGCTAAAATTTAAAATAAATCTTGTTTTATCACCTCTTACCCTTTAAGTTTATATCATCTTTAGTTTTAGCTTCAATGCGAAGCTGAGAAGGCATTAATTTTACAATGATGTGTTGGATTTTTTTTTTTTTTATGTCTGTTGCCACTTTTTCTTAGCTCTCACTGGACCGATTTCTTCCAACAATACGTCAAAAGATCACAAAATAGTATCTAGTTAATGACATTACCCTTAAAAATTAAAAAATTTTCCCTCGTTCCCCACAAATGGGGGAACTCTCCATAAAAATTACAAATTTAAAAATCGGTAAATTTTATCATTTTTTTTTCATTTATCTTAAAACTTTCATAATTTTTTCAATAATCAACAAATCAACATAAATTTTTTTTATACTAAAACCTTAGATATTTCTCTTTTATTTGATATAATTTTTTTGAAAATCTAACACTTAATCTGCTCACTGGGGGGGATTTAAAATAGCAACTTTTTTACAAAAACTAACTTTTTCAACTTAACTTTTGAAAATGTTTCGGAAATACTACGTCCTTTCAACATATATAAAATTAAAGCTTATGTCATGTACTAAAATTAAAAAAAAAAATTTGTCCCGACGACCTATCTTCTATTCAAAAATGGCCACCATATTCAAAAATATGCTATTTTTGTGTTAAAATCCTAGGTTTTTTATTTTATTTTAAAATATCTTATAAGGGCAATACACTGACTTTCATGAATTTTATATAATTTAATTGACATAGAATAAAGTTTTTAGACACAAGAAATTAAATTTTTAAAGTTGAAAAATTATCTTTTAAATTTGACTTAGCTGAAATTGCTAATTTTATCATGCGACGATCAGTTGACGAATCGGTAACACTTGTCTTTCACGTTTAAGGTACGAAGTCCGAATCTGTGGCGAAAAATATTTTGCATTTTTTTTGAGTTAGAAAAAAAATTTTCAATTCATTTGATTTTGTCTCATTTATATTCAATAACTTCAATAAATATTAAGGAAAAATATCACTGTAGCCTTCTCTCGTGAGAAGAAATTTCTTATTCATGTTAATATTATTTTACTATGTGTTTATTTTGAGGCCGCGATTTATTTTTCTTGACCTACTATTTTCGACGTTACGTCAAATGATTCCAATTCTTATTTAGTTGAAGATATTACCTTTAAAAATTGAAAAAAAATTCCATATAAACAATTAAAATCATTTATATCTAATATTCATTAATAATAATAATTTATTAATAAATGATCTATAATCATTAATTTATAATATTCTTAAAGTATTTATTGTCGAATTAGATTTTATATGATAAACGTATTCAACTACAAAAGTAAATAATTTTACTTTGTAAATTATGAATTTTTTAACTCTATTTTTGTGTGCTACTACCAGTCTATAATATTCCAAATTTTTTTGTAACATGTTGCTATATAAATGATAAATTTAAAAAAAAAATGATTTTTAGTTTCACCTGAATTTAACGATGGATTTTTACAATTGATTGAGTAAATCTTTTTAACAACTTTTTTTTTATTGGTTTTTTTTAGATATATAATCATTAAAATTAATTAAATTTTGAATATTTCCATTGTAGAATCTTATTAAACACCAAAAGTTAATTAGAAATGATTACTATGATATTTATTAAAGTGATCTATTACAATAAAAATGTAAAAAAAATCGAACTTTTCTGATAAATGTACTGTAAATAGTAATTATAAAATTTCCTGATTGCATATTAATTTTTTTCTATTTAATAATGTCAATTTCAAACTTGCAAGTTGAGCTAAAAGTTATGGTAATAATTTCATTTTTTTTTTTTTATTAAAACTTTCACTTTAAAAGACAAAAAAAAGTAGGTTCAAAATGATTATATTTGACATATTAAAAATCAAAATCAATAATTGTTTGAAAATAATTAATTTTAAAAATTATATAATATATAATTTGATGTTGATTAAGTTGATGTTGCTTTTGTAATTATCCATTAATTTCTTAGAATTAAACACTACAGATTTGCATCGAAGTGTTTCTTATGATAGTAATTTTAATCACTGTCAGATTAAATCTATACTGGACCCAACTATGCAACGTCCCCACTATGACGCGACCCCACTGTGATGGGTTTTTTTTTTTTAATGAAAACATCAATCTAATTAGTTTAATATAAGGATTTGATATAATTAAGAAAATAGCTAGTTAATAACAACATTAAAATCACTATTTTAGAATATTTTTATGACCAGGCGAAATAATAATAACAATTAAAAGTATTTCAAGTATAAAACTTAAAAAAATTAAATAATGAACAAATTAAAAAAAAATCATACGGTCTACTTAAATCTAAAAATCTATTAAATGACACTTTAAGTCATGATATATGACAGTAGTTTGTCATCAAAAATAAATATTAAGTCATAATGTGATTATTGTCGAAATTAGGTCTTAAATATGAATATATTAACTTAAAAGTTCAAAGTAAAAAATTTAACAAAATTTCGTATTTTTCTTGTGAAAATTTAAGCCTTCATCGGGCAGTCAGTGCAACCTAATGGAGAACTTAACTAGTGTAATTTTTTTAATTTATTCTTTTTATGTTGGCTGGTAGCAAGTCTTAACATCTGATAAATCAACACCTTGAGTTAATAATTCAAAAAAAATTCTTGATAACAGTATTTTTCCGGATGATACCGGTAACGTTTATTTTCAACTAATGCTGCTTTACAAGTTACTTAAATTTTGATGTCTGGAATCAGTTCTTAAGTTTTTTAATTCTAATAATTATTTTAACTGTAAATTATTCATTGTAATGTAATAGTACAGTAACAGTAGTTTGGTAGAACTATTGATTATAGAATTTTATAACTGAAGTCGTTTTTGTGTCAAAAGAAAATATGGACTTGAAAAAACTAACGTATGTATCTTTAAATAGTTATAATTAAAATTATAATTTTTTTTTAATTTCTGTTATTAGTTGGCAAAAATTCTATTACAAGTTGAATAAACTTAATGTTAACTACACAGATGAGTCAATTGAATCTATGTTAAACCATGCAGCTGATGATATGAAGAAAGGCATTTTAAAATTTAAACCACATGCATCAACCCGACTTGTATTTTATAAAAGTGATAAACCTGATACTGATTATTTATATCCAATCATCTCTCAATTGCTTGTAATTATAATATTTTAATAATATGTTTTCGTATTGAATAATATAAGCATTATTATTTTTATTTTTTAGTTCATTGATGAGAATGATGCCAAAAGTATTTATGATAAATACACAGAAAATGAAGGCGAAGATGGTACTAATAAAGGTTTGACTGAAAATGATTTACATAATGTTTGTATTAATGTGTGGAACTTCTACAATGAGGAACTTCTGTTTTTATTCCGGTCATTAAAATACATATTGACTGCAGTTGAAAACCCAAACTATCATTATTCGGTAACGTAATAAAGTATTATGTTGTATTGTAAATATTAACAGTTATATGATATTTTACAGGCAGTTTGCAAAAAATTTGCTCGGAAACAAAATTGGAAAGAATGGTATTCTGCTTTACAAGATCAATTGTCTTATGTTCGCTCAATAACTTTTTTTGATACTATTGTGTACAAGCCTCTTCAAAAAATAGTACATAAAAATCTACTAACATTTATTTTGAATCAACAAATAGAGATATTACAATTAATGGTACTTACTTCACTTAGAGTGAATAAACTAACTAAAGATGATTTTAATACTTGGATTAATAATCTAATAGTAAGTGTATTATAAAGATTTTATAGTATACATACAACGTAGTTACCAAAGAGAGTCCTTTGATATTTTATTAAATTGCTACATTAATGACAATACCAGGTACCTATATTACTTCAGTTTTGATATTGTTTTAAAAGTGATTTATAGATTAGTATAATTAAAACACCTCACAATCTCTAAAATAATTTTTTAAATTACTGTCATATATATTCCATATTTGGTATTGTTATTCCAACAGTAATAATGTTTTTAGTATTAAAAACAGCACGGTGGGGTCGTGGCATAGTTGAGTCCAGTATAGATGATATCTGACAGTGATTAAAATCACTATCATAAAAAACGCTTCGATGCAAATCTGTAGATAGTGTTTAATTAAAAAAAAAAAATTGTTTAAAATAGCATATTTTTGAATATGGTAGCCATTTGCGCATAGAAGATAGGTCGTCAGGACAAATTTTTTTTTTTAATTTTATAGTACATAAAATAAGCTTTAATTTGATATATGTTTAAAGGACGCAGTATTTTCGGAACATTTTCAAAAATTAAGTTGAATAAGGTATTTTTTGTAAAAAAGTTACTATTTTAAATCCCCCCAGTGAGCAGAATAAGTGTTAGATTTTCAAAAAAAATTATATCAAATGAAAGGGAAATATCTAAGGTTTCAATACAAAAAAATATTATTTTTATTTGTTCATTTTTGAAAAAGTTATGGCAGTTTTAAGTACAAAAAATATCCCGATAAAAGGTCATTTTTATCGCAAACATTACATTTTTTTTTAAATTTTCGACAGCCATTTGCACATAGAAGATAAGATGTCGGGACAAATTTTTTTTTTTCATTTTATAGTACATAAAATAAGCTTTAATTTGATATATGTTTAAAGGACGCAGTATTTCCGGAACATTTTCAAAAGTTCAGTTGAAAAAGATCTATGTTTTTTACAATATTTTAAGTTTTGAACGCCCCCTATATAAGGGGAAATTGTCCAATTTTAATAAAAAGTATGTCAAATGAAAGATGTACTTATAATGTATTTAGAAAAAAAAAATTTGTGCTGATATATACATTTTTCAAAAAGTTATAGCATTTTTAAGTTGAAAATTTAAAATCGAAAATCGAAAATTTTAACACAAAAATAGTGTTTTTTTAACTACGGCAGCCGTTTAAATGTAGAAAAAAAAGTGTCGGGACAAATTTTTTTTTTTCATTTTGTAGTACATAAAATAAGCTTTAATTTGATATATGTTTAAAGGACGCAGTATTTCCGGAACATTTTCAAAAATTAAGTTGAAAAAGTTATTTTTTGTAAAAAAGTTGCTATTTTAAATCCCCCCAGTGAGCAGAATAAGTGTTAGATTTTCAAAAAAAATTATATCAAATGAAAGGGAAATATCTAAGGTTTCAATACAAAAAAATATTATTTTTATTTGTTCATTTTTGAAAAAGTTATGGCAGTTTTAAGTACAAAAAACATCCCGATAAAAGGTAATTTTAATCGCAAACATTACATTTTTTTTTAAATTTTCGACAGCCATTTGCACATAGAAGATAAGATGTCGGGACAAATTTTTTTTTTTCATTTGATAGTATATAACATAACCTTTGATTTGATATATGTTTAAAGGACGCAGTATTTCCGGAACATTTTCAAAAGTTCAGTTGAAAAAGATCTATGTTTTTTACAATATTTTAAGTTTTGAACGCCCCCTATATAAGGGGAAATTGTCCAATTTTAATAAAAAGTATGTCAAATGAAAGATGTACTTATAATGTATTTAGAAAAAAAAAATTTGTGCTGATATATACATTTTTCAAAAAGTTATAGCATTTTTAAGTTGAAAATTTAAAATCGAAAATCGAAAATTTTAACACAAAAATAGTGTTTTTTTAACTACGGCAGCCGTTTAAATGTAGAAAAAAAAGTGTCGGGACAAATTTTTTTTTTTCATTTTGTAGTACATAAAATAAGCTTTAATTTGATATATGTTTAAAGGACGCAGTCTTTCCGGAACATTTTCAAAAATTAAGTTGAAAAAATTAATTTTTGTAAAAAAGTTGCCATTTTAAATCCCCCCCAATGAGCAGGTTAAGTGATAGATTTTCAAAAAAATGATATCAAATGAAAGGTAAATATCTAAGGTTTTAGTATAAAAAAAAATTATGTTGATTTGTTGATTTTTCAAAAAGTTATGGAAGTTTTAAGAAAAAAAAGTGAAAAAATTTCAAAATTAGCAATATTTAAATTTGTAATTTTTTTGGATATTTCCCCCATTTGCGGGGAACGAGGCAATTTTTTTCAATTTTTTAGGGTAATGTCTTCAACTAGATACAATTTGTGATCTTTTGACGTATTTTTGAAAGAAATCGGTCCAGTGAGAGCTGAGAAAAAGTAGCAACAGACTTAAAAAAAAATTAAAAAAAAAAAAAACACATCATTGTAAAATTAATACCTTCTCCACTTCGCATTGAAGCTAAAAATTATTTGTAATATCATGGTATCAAAAAAATCAGTATTTTTTTTCTATATATATTTTATTATTATTACATTTATTGTATGCTGACTTAGAATCCAATAAATTAAATGATGATAATTTATATTAATTACTTAATAACTTAATTATAATGTTTATTTATAGCTACTCAAAATAACTTCATATGTTTAAATTTTTCTTAAAATTATTATTATTTAAAGTATCATGTTTATTACAGGACAATAATTTTGGGAAAAATCAAACATTGGAATATGATTATAATAACTTGAACACTACATATGCTGCGCTTATGTGTCAAATATCTAGTTTAGAAACGTTGCATTCATTGCAAATGATTTGTTTATTTTGGGAGTAAGCATAAAAAATAATATATTATGGTTGATGATATTGTGAAATATGTATATATTCAGTGTAATTAATAAATAATTAAATATTGTTTAAGCAAGAGCATATTTATATATTTAGTTTTAAAGGGGTGGTTTTTTTTTAAATATCCATTTTTCATCAGAAGATTTAAGAGACGAAAAAAAGGAATAAACTTCTAGTAAATTTACTAAAACTCTTAGTTACCCCACCATACATGTTTTGCTGTTTTTTTTTTTTAATTCAAACTAACTTTTGACAATGTAATTATTTTTTATAAATGACAACTGGTTTATATGTATAGAATCGTATTTTATTTATAACTAATTCTGTTGAAAATAAATAAATCATAGCTGTAGTGTACAGCTAATAAAATATCATTTAGTCAATATATAATAAAGAAAATTAATATTGAAAAATATAATTAAAAAAATATGCCATCCTTCAAAATTTGATGATTTCTATAAGAAACATAAAATATCCCTATCATTTCTATAATATGAAATTTTTATTATACGGTATAAATAAATGTATGAATTTGATATAAGGCTAAGAAAATTAACCTCCTTAAGATCATGTGTTAAAAGAATTTATTGCCTAATTGCCTTACAAAGATTGCTGTAACATGCTTTTATGGTTATTTTCACATTTCACATGATAACACTGCATTTCTATATAATATAAATTATATCATTTCAATTTTCATAATTTAATAAATATTAATGTAGGTATGATAACTATATTTGGACTTCAGATGAAGAATTTATTGAATCTGATAAAAAAATTAAAATGATACAACATAGCAGTGAATATGGAGCAGTTTTAATGGCTTGGGCAATATTAAATTTAAAAGGACAATATGGAATAAAAGATTTACAAAAATTGGATGTTTATACAGATATAATGAGCCCATTAAAGTTATGGCCTTCCTTATTAAATATGTGTCAATCACCAGTAGTAAAAGTAATATTTTCTTTAAGATAAAATTTGTTTCTCTACAAATATAACAGGGCTGTACCTTCAAAGTAAAATTTAGAAATTGAGGATTTAAACAAAATTTGATTAAAGATATCACAAATAATTATTAGTGATAAAAAAAAACTATACCTAAAATAAAATTATTTTAGGTAGAGATTACATCATATGGTAAATAATTATCATATAATGAATAATTTAATACTGAAATAAATGCTATAATGCATAGATGAAATATGCAAAAATGTAATATGCTCATTTTTTACCTGTTATAAATGAATAGTAGTTTGATATAATTAAGTTAAATTTTGTTTATAAACACTTTTAGGATCACACCATAACAGATAAATTAGCAAGAATTTTATGTGAAAACTTAATAATAGAGAGTATAGATTTAGATATATTTGATTTAATCGATTATGATCCATTACTTATCAAATTACTTTTATATTTACTAAGTAAAAATTCAGAACTTTCATCTGAAACAATAAATAATTTGGAATCTGGCATTGGTCTCTTTATTAAAAAATTCATGGGAATGTATCCTGTTGATTTATGTAGTCTTTTTGATTTATTTATTGGAATAATTAAAGGATCACCTCAAAATTTAAATAAGGTAAAAAATATGATCATTTTTTATAGGGCTTCATTTTATTAATCTTTATTTTCATGATTTTATTCAGGTTTGGCAACTAATGAATAATATTAAAACTTTTAATGCAGTTTTTCCACCTGATGGACGGTATATTTATGATCAAGAATCAGATACATTTTATTTGACTGATAAATATTTTGTAACTGATGTAGTTTGCAATATAGAAATTCCAAGTAACACTACATTTATAAGTGATGGAGATATGGTTCAATTTGATTATAAAGTTCCAGTTTTTTACTTCTTAAACTCGGCTATAAATAATTTTAGAATGGTAAAAATTATTTTATTAAATCTTTTTATTTAGGTAATATTTTCTTGTGCTTAAACTTTATTTCATGGAATTTTAAGTTATTTTTTGAGTTGATGATATTTGGAAATTATAATAAAGATTTTCTTTTTTAATTAATGTTTCTGAGTATCTAATTGATATAATTATTATGCTGAATAATATCTAAAAAGAAATATGAAAGATTGTATTCCATTGAATAATATTCATCATCCCATTGTTATTATTAAATAAAATTAATATTAATAATAAGAATTGATTACTTGTTGCTAACATTATTTAAAATTAATATTTATAAAGTTTTGGTTATATTTTATCATTTTTAGTGTCGTGATGGTGACAAAAAAAATGCATCATACAATGTAACAAAAGACATGTTAATAAGTTCAATTGAATTAATTCAAACTATTTCAAAAGTTGCAACATCACTAAATGATGATTTAATGGGAACATGTGAAACTTTGTTAACACTTATACCTAGGTGAATACAAAGATTTTTTTTTCTCTCAATTTGTAGTTAATTAATATTTACATATATATTTTTTAGTGTATCATATATTGATTCAAATTATATTGCTGATTCTATGATTGTATCAAAAGTTTTAAAACTAGCCAGATGCATATTAGTGTATTTTCCAGAACAAACAATGTGTTACTTTAATGCAAATAATTTCTTCCCATCCTTGGTTAGTGGTATTGAAGACGCAGTAGTAAATTTACATCCATTTGCACAAAATTCAGTTGGATTGATGATACTTAAAAATGGTCCTGATATTTATCCAGTATTAACTCAATATATTAAATTTGTTGAAGCTGCATTTAAAGTAATTTTCTCTGAAAGATTATTTACTTATTTTACAAATAAATATTTTATATTGTGCATTGTTATTGTTTCATAAAGATTAAACATGTATTAACGTCTCAATGTGCAATAGCTGGTCTTATGTTTGTGTTCAAAAGTATTATGCCATTGTTGACCATGTCAGATTTCTTTATGGGACCAAAAGAAAAAATGGATTTAAGGTGGTCTTGTTTACGTCTTATTTATGTTATTTCTGTACTGGATTCAGGAAATAGTACATTACTTTCACCCGTTAAAAAAGTATTAGACTTATGTTTAGTTCATAGTCCATCATCTATTGCTTCATTAATTATTTTGAATATTTCAACTATAGGTAATTAATAATATATATACGGAGTAAAACAGATATAACTGACAATTCTTGTAACTTTTGATCCAATTATAATTTGATTGTAATTTTTTAAAACAATTTTTGTATTCTTAAGCTATTTTAAAAGTATTTATTTTTAATAATAAAAATTTTTTATAAATTTTAAATTAGCTTATTTTTTAGAGTTTGTACTATTGTATATTTATAACACATACTCCATCCATGTTACATACCCACTCACTGTATTAAAATTCAGGTAAATCAATAAGTACATATCCTAAAGATGTTATTGCCTCATCAAAATTGTTTGTAAAAAAAAAAGCTCTAAATTTCATTTTGATATTTTGAAAAAATTTAAAATTACATTTCTTATTTTATTATTAAAAATTATACGTTTAACATAATCTAAAAATGAAAATATTGATAAAAAAAAAATTACAACAAAATGATTATTGGATCAAAATTTACAAGAGTTGTCAGTTAGATCTGTATATTATGGTGAGTCAAAAGAAGTTGGTCATCAAAATTTTAATGAGAATCCTTTAAACTGTATTATATATATATATTAAAATAGATATTTTATGAAAAGTTAAGATTTATAAAAAAAAAATTTATTAGTTACTCAACTTGATTTTAATATTTTGACCATAAATACCCCCCTCCCCCAAATAGTGATATTTTGAACGATTTAGTTTTATTTAAAAAATTTATAACCATAATTTTATTGCTTGTGGTCATCATAACAATAGGTAACGAAAAATAGCTTACATATAGTTTTATTAAAATTAATTTTTGATATTAATATAATTAAATTATTATTAAATTCTTTACAACTGATACAGTTTTAATATGTATTATAATTTTATTCATAAAGTTTTATTTTTTTACATAAAATGTATTATAATGGTTGCTCAACATGTTTTCAGTATTTTGACCAAAAATGACCTCAATTATTAAACTTTTGATCAAATATTATGATTAGTAATAATCAAAATTGTTTCATTTTTACTGTAGAACACAAATATTTTTGTTTTAAAATTTCAAGTCGAAAATTGACATTGCCGATATCATAATTAGTGTCATTATGTACTGTATTTCTAGTAGGTCTTAAGTGAGCTTAAGATTTTTTTTATGCTGTTTGGCTGATATTTATGTATATTATAAATAGAAAAAAAATTGTTCACTAATCTTAAAAATTTATACCTTTTTCTATAAATAAAGCATAAGATAAAATATATGATATTTTTGAAAATATTCATAACAGTTAATCATAAAATACTTTTAAAATACATATTTTTTTATTAAAAAATTAATTTATATTAATTTAATTTAAGTAACTTATATAATTTTTTTAGTGTTCTCAGTTCAAGTTCTTAAAAATCATTATCTTTTATATCTCAAGTGTTTTTCAAATGGGTATTTTATTATATTCTACAGTTTTAATATTAGAGACTTTTTTTTTTCCATGACCGGCATTATTGTGGGCCGCCCTGGAAATGCTGTGTGGCATTACTTTATGGCGGCCCACTAGTATTAGAGACTGATTTAAAAATAAATAATTTACGTTTGTTGTTTAAAAGTAGTCTCTAAAGAATCTATCTGAATATCAAAAATAGTATTTAATGACTCCAGAAATTTAATTTCTTTCCTATTTTGAACAGTACTATTTGTTTCTTTAACTTCATCCACTATGTATAGAGAAATTTTATTTGTGAAACGATTTTACATTTAAGTTTTATGTGGGTGTTAGTTTTCGATCACACCTGTATTAATTGCTTTGAATACAGATCATGACTAATAAATATTGATTATTTGATCACACTTTGAAAGTATAAAAAAAAATTAACTAAAACACAACCTTTTGATGAGAGCTTCTGACGAATAGTGTTTTTTTTGACATTAGATTTAGTCTTTGGGTTTTTCAATATATACCAAAATTAAATTGAACATGTATTTTACTAAAAATTCATGTGCTATAATTGCCATCAAATAAATTCAGTATGTAGACTGTTGGATACACATGGGTCGAATATGCTGTCGAGAAATTGTGTTGTGATAATTCATGTTATCGTTGTGTTACATCGAGTTGTTGTCTGTCTTCTCACTATGTCTGCATTGTCGCCGCCATCTTAACGCTTCTTCAGCTATAAGCTCTATAGCGTTTGCAAGTCAGTAGTTTTGTATTTCTTTTGTTGTAAAAGTAAAATATCACCTTTGCGATTGTCCTACCCTGTGCGCTCAGTATATCGCCGTCGGCTCTACATATTTTCTGAGATACATCAAAATATTGTTTACATCATATTGTACACATTGGTCAGCTACTAGCATTCTACTTCAATTGATCCTTTCAATATACAACATTATCATATGCTGTTTCAACTAACAGATAAGTATAATGCTTGTTCATCTTCTTTCCAAGACCTACTCACTTTTATAATTTATTATTTTTTTATATCAGCGCCATTGTAACATTAGTATTAAGTGTCCCCCTATCTATGTTGGTGTATATAAGATTTTATGATTTTTGTATAATACATTTAATTGTTATAATTATATATTGTAAAATTCATTCTACATTCAAACATACAGTCCACTCACCTTATTCCTTATTCTCAACATAGCTAAAGACTTAGGACAAAATAAAACCACAAACATTAACAAACCTGCGTGAATACCACCAAAATTATTGTTATTATTATTAAATTTTTTAAATAAAACTAAATCTTTCAAAATATCACTATTTAAAATCAAGTAAACCCATGTCTTCACATAGGTTTGCCAATTTTTAATTAAATAAAACTATTTTGATATACTAATCATAATAGTTGACTAAGATTTGAATATCAGAGGCCGTTTTTTTTTTTTTT